AATGATCCCAGGACCAGACAAATATCATTGATTGGCAAATAAATGTCTCTCTGTGTGTACGGTATATATGTACGTGCGTAAAGCAAATAAATATATATATTATTTTTGCATGTATTATTTAAAGGGTTGTTGGTTTACTATTGAAGGCTTTGCTTAATATTTCCTTAATTGCAGTTCTGGAAGCTATTCTGACCTTCTCAAAAAAAATCCATCTCATCCCTTAAGAGAAATCCCAAATCAAAGATATGCTCTTCTTTAGGAAGTCCGCCTGGTAATAAATTTGAACTTAGTTTGGAAGTTCCAAGGCACTCACTGTGTACCTGAAGCCAACCAGGACCATTGCATAGTTGAAACGGGAAAAGATAAAACAACTCCATACTCCACATGATGGATGAAAGTGCTACCTGCAGTGAAACTAGAGCTTAGTACAGTATCACAGATGAACAACATCAGTGAAACCAGCTGATGCATCTAGTTCCAGTTTTATTGGGCTATCATACAATGATGTGTTGTAAAATGCATAAGATTCTGTTTCATATAGACCTCCTGTCATATAATCAAACACTAAGTTTTTTACAATTTATGGGCAATTCAGCCAGCAAACAGCCCAGGCTGTGTCCCTCTAATGCAGAATGTGAAAACCTGAGATTCTTTAGGCCAGGGGTCCCCAACCGCCGGTCCGCGGACCGATGCCGGTCCGCGGAACAACTCTTACCGGGCCGCTGGTTGCTGGGCGCCGCCATCTTTTTTTGGTAAAAAAGTGCTTCCGGTGAGCTTTTCCGGGTAGAAAGCTCACCGGAAGCACTTTTTCATCAAAAAAAGATGGCGGCGCCCAGTTGATGCCGGTACCGGGCCGCGGCGCCCAGCTGATGCCGGTACCGGGCCGCGGCGTCAAAAAGGTTGGGGATCCCTGCTTTAGGCCATTAAGCCCTTCATTACCAGGCTCATTTCATGACTGGGATCAGAACTCTTAAATGGCGTGTTGGGGAAGGGGGTTAATGAGTATTTTAGAGAATTGGAGGTAGTGGTAAAGTAAAACAGGTGTCATAAACCTTTGAAATATTTCAAGAACTTAAAATTGAGGTTGGTTTTTCCTTAAGGTACCCTCAACCCCCAAGATCTAGGTTAAAAAGATCACCCAGAGCCATCATTGTATCATCATGATTGGCCACTGGAAAGACCCAAGATAAAATATGACTAATTTTGCTCCATGGATTAGTAACCAGTTGACCAATGTCTATAGTCAAAGTAGGCAACCTTTGGTCCTAAATCATACATTCCTAATGCCCTGGAAAACAAACAATTCTCTAGCAAGAATGATCTCTTTCTCTCACTGGGGAGCTACAGAACCACATTTTGGCAACTTATGACCCACAACTGTCTAGGGACAGGATGCAGAAGCTCCTCTGATGCCAATTCCAGATTAAAAATGTCAACTTCAGAAGCATATTAAGCTCCTTGCCTAGCTGTTCCCTTAAAACCTTTTTGAGTTGACCTCTGAACTTTTGTCTGTTGGTCAAATACAACTCTGTCCTAAACAGATGTTGTATCCTTAGCCTCGTAAGTAGGATTTCAAGAAAGCTGCAATTCCTTAATTCTTCGTTTCTAGTGATAATCAATGTGTTTTGTCTTTGGTCTCTCCCAATCCATTTTCTACATGGGCAAGAGCAGCAAGGCAGCAGCTGAGAGCCAGATTTTTCTGAACTGCTTACACATGCACTCCAAAGCAAGCAACATGAAAGGATCCCTGCTGTCCATTAAAATGCCATGGCTTCCAAATCCCAGTGTGATGCTTCGGGTTTAAAAGAATAGGCCAGTGCGCTTGCATTGTGGGGAAGCTCCTGCTAATGAAAGGAACAATGGGATGATTAGCGCTACCAACCATGTAAAGCAATGCAATTGTTTGTTTAATTGCCAGGGCTAAAATGAATAGAAGAAGGGCAACCTAATTGTGGAAAAGGGAGGAGGTACGGATAGTGGCGTTTACAAGCATCACATTGATACCAGAGTTGGCTTCACACATCACATCAAGATACATTTCATTTGGTTACTAAGCAATGACTGACTGGATGCATACAAGTCAAAAAAACCTTGCACCTACAGATGTTCAAAAATTGAACCTAAGACCTAAGTGCCAAGATGTTATCTACCACAAAACTAAGCTGGTTTCCTCATCCAAGAATCATTGACAATATCTTGCAGCAATGATCACCAAGTATACGCCAAAAATCTAAGCCACCATATTTCTTTTCTTTCCATTCAATCTTGTCCAATTCGCAGAGACCGCCTAGGCAAGACCCTGAGGTTTTCTTGGCAGGTTTTACAGAAGTGGTTTATTATTGGCTCTTTGCCTCCACTGAGAGAAAGTGACTAGCTCAAGGTCGCCCAGCTAGCTTTGTATCTAAAGCAGAACTAGAACTCACAGATTTCTGGTTTCTAGCCTGGTGCCTTAATTACTACACCAATCTGCTCTCCAATGCCAATAGAGGGCAGCAAAGTGGGATTGAAATCCTTTGTTGCCACCTAGTGGTCATCTAATTTTTTTTAGCCCATATTGAAAGCCTCCTTAGAGAGTTCATACCGGTACTTCCGAGTACTTTATTACATTGCTTTACCTCGCCACTTATATTTTCTGCTGTTTTCACCTCATGGAATTTTATTGGAACAACTACAGTAGCAATTCAATACCCAAAGAGCTTTTTACAGCCTGATGGTTGTGGAGTTCAAAGAGATCTCCTCTAGCACAGTAGATACCCTTATTCCACTGCAAGTTATTTCAAGGTGAACTTATAGTTTAACCCAATCAACTGTAGACTTTCCTTTAAAGAGGAAATTTCTGAAGGCTAGATAAAGATAAATCCTCCCTTAAACCAAGGTTAGTTTCTGATGATTTCATGCAAACAAATTATGACATTTTCTTGGCAACAATACAAAGTATTTGTCAGGTCCAAAGAACCAAGAATGGCATGTGGATTTACATCTGAGTAGTCTCTTTATTGTTGTTTACCTACAGAGTCTTGGAAGACTAAAGCAGTGATCTGCAAAATTATAGATAAACTCGGTGAATTGCTAGGGAGGATACATCTTTGCTCTCTTCCTGCTCACCAGATATTCCAAGATTCACTGTCTCTTTGCTCTCTAGGAAGGAGCCCCTCATTCCTGTGACTCCAGGTCACATTATTCCATCACTTTGTTCTGATTTTTTTCCCCAATTTTTCAACCTAACCTACAGTCCTGAGATTGCCTGATCATCCCTATCTATGAACTAATCAGTTCCAATCCTAATTTTTAGCAGTCAGCTAAAATGGACTAGATTGTGGATTGGTGTATCATGCATCAACCCAAAGCTTGGAGTGCAATTACAGAAACTCTCCAAAAAATGCCGCTGAGTTGCAGGATTTAATTGCACAGAAATTTTAAAAATGAAGTATTCAATATACAGACCCTCATCAGATTGAATTATGTTTAGATTTAATTTTGTCAACTTTTGTTGCTTTTTGTCACTTTTTGAAACCTGCCCTTTCCAACATGTCCCACTGCTACCCTCAACTAAAAAAAGTTGTATGATCATGTATGCATACTTACATCTATGCATCCCTACATTTCAGTTGTACAGCAAGTGAAAATACATCAATGAAATTCTACCATGCCCAGATTTCAAAGAATGCATAATAAAATACATGATGGGCTTTTCTATGGAAGAAAGATCCAGTCCTCTGAATCTGAGGATAGCCTTTGGAAGTCTTTTTTTTTTTTTTTTACTACAATATTTGGAATTCACTCCGCAAGTGTCCATGTAGGTAAATGAGTAGTAAAACTGAGAAGGTAATATCTACAGTACATAAGCCTGACATTTTAGTAAAGTGTTGCCCATCACTGTGTCAAACATACATCCAATATATTTGATGCAGAAAAGGAATTCCCATAAATGAACATCTGTCCTCCAAGTGTTCCCACTGCTCAAGAATCCATTTGGAGAATCTTTGTTTCTCATGAAATGATATCATCTCTATCTAAAACTCTTGCTGAATGCTGAGAAAATAAGGGTGAGGTGGGGTGGAGGCAAATGTTGCAAGATTTTGATAAACGTGCCAAAAAGAAGATCTCATAAGTAGCAGTTGTTTGGAGAATTTTGACAGTGGATTGGCTTCCCACATTGCACTAAGCAATGGTTTGCTTGAACATAGCCTACCAACGAATCACAATTTGTCGAGTTTACAAAAATCCACCGAGCCATAAAAAGCATGGCTTATGAACACCACAGAAGGATTCACCCATCTTGCTAAAGCTGAAATGTATCAACCATATGATGATGCACAATCTCAGACTGAAGGCCTTCGTGTCACAAGATAGAACTTAATTGGCTTCTGAATGAGATTATATAGACTTGCCCAGAATAAACTCATCCCAGAGTCCTGAAGGAAGGACCCTGCTAAGGGGTCAAGCAGACTTCTCTGGCACTGTGCATGAGGGAACATGTGCATCTGTCATCCATGGACGGTTGCATAGAATTCCTTTTCTGCATCCATACGTCTGCGAATTTTAATGTTTTGGCTAGAAGCCACTTAAACAGCAAAGCACAGAAGTCAGATCAAGCAATCATCATACAGGATGTGCACTCCAGATGGGCTCTAGGGGTTTTTTGTGTCAGCCCATCTTCTGCACATACCCATCAACCCCTCTCTCTTATGGAGATTGTCAATTATTCAGGTCATGGATGTCCCAAGGGTGCTTCTCCAAATTCCTTGGACTTTCTCGTTTGTTTGTTTTCTTTGAGTTCGAACTGAAGAAGCTTCTTGGATGAGTAGCGAAACATTTCCAAAGGGAAAAAAATCCAATTGCCTTTTGGAAAAACATCTTTGGGACTTAGCAGCATAGGTATGAAGCAACAGTTGTGGGCCGTTGCAGGCAACTTTAAATCAGCCTAAAGCCAACAGGAGAGAACAAGTGTAGCGGAAGGGGAACAGTCTGAAAACCGAGCAACAACACATAACACTTACCAAACCTGTGCACGTGGATATGGCAACGGAAGAAGAACTGTAGTTCCTTATAAATCCCTGATAGAAACACTGTTCAATATCACGAACCTGAGAATCTTCAATGCCATCTTTCCCAAGCACCTGGATAGTCACGTTCTGGCTCAGAAAGTTGGAAGGCTTCAGCTCGAGATGCAGTTCCTGTCCAAATGCTGAAAACCTGTAGTGCAAAGAAGCTTTCGAGTTCAGGGTGGATCTCTTTCTCCTCGCGCTGTGCAAAATGTCATGCGAGAGATAAGATCCGCTGGAGTCCACCTCGACTGGAACGACAAAGGTGTAATCTGGAAGAAGGTTGAGAACAGGGTTAGCCACCAGCCTTCATCTTCCCTCAGGCATGTTTTTTTTTTGGGGGGGGTGTCTTTCTTGGTCTTATGGATTCCTCGTTGGAAGAAATATCCATCTGGTTCCGTTCCAAGTTGGAGAGAAAGACACTGGAAATGTGGAGGCTGATTGGAAAGATGGTTTAGTGATGGAGCAGAATCGGCAGCGGTCCTGGGTCAGCTGACCAATTGGTTTGATGAGTACATGGATCTGAATACGGTTTGTTCTACACCATTTTGTAATTTAGAGGCTTGCTTTGTGCCTTTTTGTTATTTGACTTTAATTAGTTTGTCTCGCGAAGGCCGGCACCGAGTCTAAAGATTAAAAATCTTTAGCAAATATAATTAATCCTAGCTGCTGGCTTCCTTGGGGTTTTAATCCTGTCTTGAATGGATTATTACCAAATCTGCATTTTTAAAAGGTGGCCTCCTCAGTTTCTTGGGGGGGAGGGAGATGGAGTCTGCTTCCTGGCTTTTAAGAGCACGTTTCTTTATTTCTCATTTAGGGAAATATAATATTTGGCCTTTTTAATATTTCTCAAAATATTTCATTCTTCTAGGAGTTGGGGGGCTTCCCACTCTAAAAGTTAACTTTCCTGAGATGAATCAATGGAACCAGACTATTAGAGGAACAAGGATGCCACTACCATTCATTGGGCTCAAAACGGGAGGTTTTACTTTTCAATTCAGTCACAAATGCCCAAATTTTGCTGAAACATGAGCTTGGAGGCTGCTGTGCCATTCCTGGGAGCACAGTCCTTTTAGGTTGCAATTGGTTTTAATATGATATTGTGTTTGTATTACCTTATAAGTCACTTACAGTCATGTTTGAATTAGAGCAGCTTATAATTGAAGACAGTAAAATAAATAGTTTGGGACCAAGCTCCTCACTCCCCTGCACCCCCATCCTTTCCCAGGGCAATTGCAAAAAATTATAAAATCTGGTTTATTCCTTCCCTACTCTTGGAACAGTCCTGGTATTCTGACCCAAACCCTTTTCCAATAAAACAAACACAAAACAAAGGGAACAGAAACCTCTTAACGATTCTTACGAATCCCCGGTTAAAAGGCTGCTATAAACTAATTAACTTTGATAAGCACGAGCCTCGCCAAAACGGTGTGAGGCTGCCAAGAATAACAGATAAGAAATATTTTACAACACGAGAGTCTTCAAATACCAACTTAAGATACTGCAATGTCCACGAGGCTCGAGTTTCAAAATGTCTTTGCTTCCTGCAAAGAATGTCTGATTCACAGCTGGCTTTTATCTTCTTGAAGGAGGGGCCATTACCTTGCAGCCTTATTCCTGAGTCGTCCGTGCTGATGCAGCTGCTCTTTCCTGCGAGCAGTTCTGCGTGCACGCGCAGAGCTCCTTGGGAGCCTCCTTATCGCTGCTGCCAGCTCCCACAATCCCTGAAGGCAGCAGCCCACTCCCTAATGGTCCTGCCCCCTCATCTGAGTCCTCGCTCTCCTCAACCATCCACACCTGCTGCCGGCTAACCACAACACCTGAATACTGCAGAATACTGCAGCTGCAGACTTCCCTGGTCATTCTTGAATCATTCGTTTTGTCATTTATTTGACGGCAAAGATTACCTTTATTGGAAACCAACGATATAACTCAACTAGACAGTCTTCTTAGGTTAGCCCTCCCCCGCACCCAATAGGGTCTAGTGGGAAATGCTTGAGTACATCAACAGTATGCCCTGTTGAGCTCCTGCAGGAAATCTAATAAATAATGAAACTCATAATAAGATTACCCCTAGGTAGAGGCAAATATTTCTCTCCCTGGACACACTGGGAATATATCTGCTCTGTATTGGTGATAGGAAGGGCATCTGGCCATTAAAACACACTGCTAGTTCTATTCAGTTGCCCAGACTCCACCTCGCAAGGGATTATGGGGTCATTAAAAGACGATGATGATGATAAGATTACTTTGGGCTTCAAGATTCCTGATTGCAGAGTCCTTTGCTGGCTCTTCTGTTCTGCCATTGGACTATAAAAACTTCATCCAGTGTCATATAAATATGTCAAGCAACAGATAGCTGTTCCTCTCTTCTCCTTCATTTCCCAAACCCCCGCACATTATTCCAATCAAGAGCATCATGGGAAGTTACAAGAGGGCAGATCCACCTGTATTGTGCTAGGTAGAATAACGAAAGGGGCAGGATAGGGTTTCCCTGAGTAAATAGGCAAGGATACCAAGAGCTGTTTCTAGTTTTGGATTCATTGCAGAAGGATTCCTACTGAAAATTATTGGTATGGAAAAATCTCAAAGAGGGTCAACCTAGGCAGATTATAGGACAGCAAGTGCCAAGTGCACCTAAGGAGTGGGATGAGGTTTTCATGGGTTTTTATGATGTGGAGTTTTAATGTTATAAACCACTCAGAGTCACTGATGTATGCGCTGGGCATCTATATAAATTTGTTCAATAAATACATTTACTCTGACCACACCTTATGTTGTTTCCATTTCTTCACCCCTCTGCTATTCCATAAAACTCTGGCCATGAGGATTTGGAAAGTGCCACAGATACATTAGCTGTGTGTCATCACAACAATAGCATTTGAGAAGCAGCGTCCAAAGCAAATAAGATAACAGAATAACAGAGTTGGATGGGACCTCGGAGGTCATCTAGTCCAACCCCCATGCTCACAAAGGAGAGAGGCCTGGGGCCACATCTTTTAAATTCTAGATTCCGGCTTCAAAGTACAGTACCTCTAACTGAAGCACTCAGCTGAACTCCTACAGTTTTCTGATCTTTAATAACAGCTTGCATTTTAAGTTTGTAAGCTTCTTAAGGGTTTAAGTCGGCTATTTTTAGAGGGCCATGATCAGATACTTTGGAGTTTTCATTATTATTATTTTTTCATTTGATATGGTCATAAAGCTAATAAACTATCCATCTATCCTTCATTGACATTTATTAATAACAGATTTTAAATCCCTCCTCACCTGGGACTTTTATTATTATTATTATTATTATTATTATTATTATTATTATTATTAT